CGGAGAAATTCATAAAAATCGTTGAGATTTCTCTAGAAAATAAATAATTGCCTAAACTATAACATTTTTATAAGTTGATGCTTTATAGACTAAGATTTTTTTTCTGGCTTTTAAACTAACTTTGATAAAATTAATATTATCCGACTGTTATATAAAATTTTAATTTTAATATTAAATTGTTTGTGAAAATTAGAAATGTCATTAGACAGAAGTCTAAAATTTAATTTTCCAATTGATTCTTCTACCATAAAGTGGGTCAATGTGGTTCTATATCAACATTTGTTGTATTGTATTAAAAAATTATCACAATTCCTGAGCAAGTTGAATGAATAATCATGTCCATGGGTCCATTTTCAAAAGCAACGAATTTGACATATGTTACCAAATATTTTCATGGCAATCAGCAAACGCAAGATATATCACAAACCCATTTCACTATATTTCTATATTTCTTGTGATTCTATTTGTGCAGTTAAAAAGAAGAAAATTCGGATTTACCATTAATTCTGAGAATATGAGAATAATTCCAGAATATTCTCATATTTTCGGGCAATTTCAATTATAACACAGAGAAATGGGAAACCCTTGCAAGATTATTTTTGAATTAAGTAAGTAGAAACACCCGAAAACTTAAAAATGAGAAAACGTAAAAAAATTGGTTTGAGAGAATTTTAAATTAAAAATGAAAAAAACATAGAAAAAACGAAATCATTTGTATTTTTGTTTTTGTTTTATTTTGTGCTACTTGTCATGATCGTTCACACGCGTGTCTACTTTTCACATATCACATTTAATGGTGACATTATTCTATCAAGAAAAAAAACAAAATTATGCTCAAACAAGTAAAAACGTTTCAGTCGGTATGAACCGATTGAATTATACCCTGCACCTTTCATTGTTGTATAGCAATTACTCAAACCTGTGAAACCATTCTATAGAAACTTCACGGATATGTCTGATCTATAACTGAACACACAACTACCAAGTTTCGTGAATCTGACTTTATTATTTTTCCAAATATTTAAAATTAGCTTTTGGAGTTGTATGGCAGGTACCCGAACCTGTCAAGCAATTCCACTAAAACTTCGCAGGTATATCTGATCTATAATTGGACACACAACTGCCAAATTTCATGAATCTAACTTTACTACTTTTCCAAATATTTAAAATAAGCTTTTGCACTTGTATGGGAGCCACTCGAACCTGTCAAACAATTCCACCAAAACTTCAGAAATATGTTAGACCTATAATTGGACACACAACTGCCAAGTTTCATGAATCTGTTTTTATTATTTTTCCAAATATTTAAAATTAGCTTTTGGAGTTGTGTGGCAGGTACCCGAACCTGTCAAGCAATTCCACTAAAACTTCGCAAATATATCTGATCTATAATTGGACACACAACTGCCAAGTTTCATGAATTTGACTTTATTATTTTTCCAAATATTTAAAATTAGCTTTTGGACTTGTATGGGAGCTACTGGAACCTGTCAAGCAATTCCACCAAAACTTCAGAAATATCTTTGACCTATAATTGGACACACAACTGCCAAGTTTCATGAATCTGACTTTATTATTTTTCCAAATATTTAAAATAAGCTTTTGGACTTGTATGGGAGCCACTCGAACCTGTCAGGCAATTCCACCAAAACTTCAGAAATATGTTTGACCTATAATTGGACACACGACTGCCAAGTTTCATGAATCTGACTTTATTATTTTGCCGAATATAAAAAATTTGCTTTTGGAGTTGTATGGCAGCCACCCCAACCGGTGCAGCTATCTCATTAAAATTTTTAGAGCATATGTAGAATATAATTGGACACATGTATACAAAATTTTATATTTGTACCTTTATTAGTTTTTGAAATAATTAAAATAAACTCTTTGAGTTGTATGGCAGCTACCCGAACCCGTTGTCCGAATGGGTCCAATAACAATAGGGTTCGTCCTTGGCACAAAAGAAGCAACTTGTGAAAGTTTGGTGTCGATTGCATTATTCGTTTTTGAGTTATCGTGCGATCGGACGGACGGACGGACGGACGGACGGACGGACGGACGGACGGACATATCTAAATCAACGCAGAATTTTACGCTGAGCAAGAATATATATATATGTCCATACCGCAGATGACTCCTTCAAGTAGTTACAAACTCCATACCAAAGTTAATATACCCTTCACGAAGTGCAGGGTATAAAAATTAGCTCTGTATTGAGCTTATTGAAAAATGTTCCAAAATAATTATTCATTACCAATATTTTTTATGTCGAAGAAAATTTAAATGTTGCGGTGTACGAAATTTAGGTGCATTTAGTATGAAATTTCATTGATTTGGAAATAATTAAACGTATGGAATGAAGCATTTTGTATATGAAAAGAATAGGGTACAAAAACTCTTAATCGAATCAGGTTTTTTTCGTATGTCTTCCGCACTCTTCTTAATTCTATCGTTAATTTTCTTATGTTAAATCTACAAAACTCATATTCACAGAGTTAACTCTAAAAATAATATTCAAAGATTTTTGTCGACAATGTTGGCATATTCAAGTTTATTCGAAAGAGAATGAAGAAACTTTGAAATATGAGCAAAAAATTTTATCCAGAATTATGAAAATTCAATTAAGAATTTACATATAATTAACATATAACAGACAAGATTAAACAAAGTTTGACCAAATATTTTAAAATAATAATTGCGTTTCAAAAGAAAATTGTCATTCAATTTCACATACATACACGTATATTTTGTTGACATTGTTGACATACTTAAAGAATTTATCTACACATGTATCCGTTATGATAATATAATTAGTTATGTAATGTATATCAATTAATTTGCTATACAAGATGAGATAAATAAGAGAAAAAGAACAAAAGGTATCTATGATAAAAACTTATACTGCGTATTTTTTTTTCATAAAATATTTTAACATGGCTCGTACATTACGCCGATACTATCTAATTTGTTTATTATGCCTTCTGTGCACAGAAAAATTTTTGACGTAATACGTCTTTACTTTGGGATTCATTTTGATAAAAACTTAAACAGTACACCGTAAGAAATTTGGAATTGATCGTTGATAATCAGTTTTTGATACTCATGCATGAAATCATTATCAATACTACTTGACCATAATTTTGGATCTCTTTCATTATACCCGTACGAACGTATGTTCGAAGGGTATACTAAATTTGCCTTACCGTTTGTAACGCTAAGAAATAACGGTGTTAGATATAGACTCAAGTGTATGTTTTTGATCAGCGTCAAATTCTGAGTTGATTTAGCTTTGTCTGTCCGTCCGTCCGTCCGTCCGTCCCAACGATAACTCAAAAACTAATTGAGTTAAGTTCACCAAATTTTCACAAATGATTTATTGTAGTAAGTGCCAGAACCCTATTTAAATTGGACTTGATCGGGGTACCGGTTCGGGTAGCTGCCATACAACTTCAAAATTTATTTGGCTATATCTCAGAAACTATAAAAGCTTTGGTATTGAAATTTCACACAAACGAATATATTAGTAGGGCCAATGTGTCTGATAAAATTCGTTGAAATTACTTGGCTCCTTCTGGTACCTGCCATACAACTGCAAAAGTTATTTGGCTACATCTCAGAAACTATAAAAGCTATGGTATTGAAATTTCACACAGGGGAATATATTAGTAGGGCCGATGTGCTTGATAAAATTCGTTAAAATTTCTTGGCTCTTTCTGGTAGCTGCCATACAACTTACAACAGTAGTTTGGCACACACAGTATTTTGAAAAACACATTGTACTGAAATTTTTCATAAATCAATATACGGCAACTACATAGTCAGTTATGGCATCTTTATTCGCACATAGGATAACGAATTCGTACGGGTATCACAGAGTTGACAAGGTCAACTCTATTTTTTTCTCGTTTTATTTTCATTTTGAAGGAATGTGTGAAAAATTAGTTCAGAATTCAAAATCGGAAGTTAATTAATAAATGGAATTCGAACGTTAATTAATTCAACAAGTTGGATAGGTAAACTTTTAACTGCCTGTACATAAAAAAAACTCAAGTTGGGACTTATCGCGAATCACTTATGCAGATTCTGTAATGAATTTGGCATTCGATTTGGCATTGTGGGGCTTTACGATTTCATAATATTCCATGTTAGTGGAAATCTTATTATTTTTCGTGGAGAATTACAATAAGTTTTTAAAGGTGCAGTTCTTTGATTTGCTTGTTTATCTTCCTTGAAATTAGATTTCATCTATTGATTCGAATAAAAATTCCAGAAAAATTAATTTTTCGGGGTTTTTTCTCGGAAATTCGGTAATTAAACGCATGAGAATTTTCTTTATATTTCATTTTTTTTTACATTATATCATGTCTTTTTAGCATTATAATTTTAATTTTGGTATTAATTTCGTGAAGCCTGTGATAAAAAAAAACATAATGTTACCAATCAACAGGCGGGCTAATCAAGAAATTAAAATTTGTTTTTTTTTCTTTTTTCGTATTTGTGTGTAATTTAAAAGAGAAAAAATATTAAAATTATTTTGATCCGAAAAGATAGCAAGCAGCAATGTAACAAAATTAAAGAAAAAAAAAAACTTGAAATATAAAAATAGTTTTCGTTAAATAAAATACATTTGGATACTCTCAATTCATACCAACGTATACATTCATAAATTTTTGTTAATATTATAAATTTTTTTATTATTTTTATTATATTTTTTTGAGATCATAAATTTGTATTACGAAAATAACTTTGAACTAAAGCTCTAAATTCAAAAGAAAAAAATTTTATGTTAAATATCTAATCTTTATGAACAAAATATCGTAGGTACATAAATATGTTCGTACGTGTACAAATATTTATTTATGCAAATTCATTCTATACACGATATAAGAGAATTTTAGAAGAAAAAAAAAAATAAATAAAATAAAGCAAAATATCTTCGGAACATATGAGTTCTATATATCATTCATGTATGATTTTTTTCAAAGATATTTTAAGAAAATCTCAGAAAAAAATACGTAAATATCTTCTAAATGGATCTTTCGCGTTTTAATATATTAAAAACAACAACAACAATATTAATAATAATAATAACTGAAAATTAACGAAAAAATACAAACAACAACAAATCAGATAGAAAAAAAATAATATAGAAAAATTTCATAGTTATCACATCACGTATCGCACCAGTTCGTCGCAGCAATTCCGTTCGAACTGTTGTATAAGTCAATATTACTTTACTACTATCGTTTTTTTTTGGAAAAAGATTATTTAATTAATTTTTATTCTTATTTTCCGTTTTTCTTCTTTTAAATCAAATATTATTAGTTACCAAAAATAACAAATTATTTAAAATTTGATAAGATAACAAAAAAAAAAGAAAAAAAAACTTGGGTTTTATATTTAATTATCGAAATTTGAATTAGAAATTTATTTCAGTAAGAATTTTTGTGTGCAACCTTAGTAAAATTTTTATTTCGAATTCAATAGTTTAAAAGGTGATCTCTCTGTGTATGAATGTTTTAGATTCTTAATAAAAATATAAATTTATAAAAAATTATAAAGACGTGTTTTTATAAAACTAGTGATTCAATTCACTTAAGAAAAATTTAACGAAGAATTAAATATTAAAATTTTAAAAAAATAATTAAATTAACCTAGATATTAAAAAGTACAAAGAAAAAAAAAACAGTTTAATATAAAGAAAAATAAACTTAACGAAACTTAAAATAAAAACTTAACGAAACTCAATTTTATTAATTAAATATCACCTTTTGCATTAATTAATAGAAAAAAAAATATTATGGCAGAACAAACGGAAGATTTACCAGCTGTTGCACCAAAAGGAGTACGTAGACGTGGTGCCGTTTCAGCTGAAGCTGTTAAAGAAGAAGATTTAACAAATTATGTTAAAAAAGTTGTACCAAAAGATGATGCAACAAAAGCAGCATTATCAAAAGCAATATCACAAAATGTTCTATTCGCACATTTAGATGATAATGAACGTTCTGATATATTTGATGCAATGTTTCCAGTTGATTCAAAAGCTGGTGAAACAATTATGCAACAAGGTGATGAAGGTGATAATTTCTATGTAATCGATCATGGTGAAGTTGATGTTTATGTTAATGATACATTAGTTGTATCATTAAAAGATAATGCAAGCTTTGGTGAATTAGCTTTAATTTATGGTACACCGCGTGCAGCAACAGTTAAAGCAAAAACTGATTGTAAATTATGGGGTATTGATCGTGATTCATATCGTCGTATATTAATGGGTTCAACAATACGTAAACGTAAATTATATGAAGAATTTTTATCACGTGTATCAATATTAAAATCATTAGATGATTGGGAACGTTTAACAATTGCTGATGCATTAGAAGCATGTCAATTTGATGATGGTCATATTATTGTTAAACAAGGTGAACCCGGTGATGATTTTTATATAATATTAGAGGGTACAGCAATTGTATCACAAAAGAAAAATGATAATAATGATGAAATAGCTGAAGTTGGACGTCTCGGACCCGGTGATTATTTTGGTGAAATTGCATTATTATTGGATAGACCGAGAGCAGCAACTGTTATTGCTAAAGATCATTTAAAATGTGTTAAATTAGATCGGGCTAGATTTGAACGTGTATTAGGTCCATGTTCGGAAATTCTTAAACGTAATATTACACAATATAACAGTTTTGTTTCATTATCTGTATAAAAAGAATTTCTTTTGTTTTATCTCTTTTAATTTATTTATTTATTATTTTAATTGTCTTAAATATTTTTTTTTCTATTTAAAATAAAAATTATTGATTTTTCTTAAAAAAAAAATTTGTAAAATAATAATTTGAAAAATGTGTTTAAATTTAAATTCATATACAAAAAATAACAATAATGCTGTGTATAATTTTTCAAATTTATTGTTTTGAAAAATAAATAAGAAACAAAATTTAATGTTTTAAGAAAATACACACGATTTATGTAAAAAAACAAATATAAGAAAAAAACAGCAATTTTTATGAAAAATAAATAAATCATACGAAAAAAAAATGTTACGAGTATAAGTTAAAAGTGTAGGTGTTTTTAGAAAAAAAGAAGAAGCAATTTTTAATATAGAAGAACAAGAAGAAGAACTGAAAAATATTTAAAATAATGTGAAAAATAAAATAAAAAAATTTTGTAGATCGAAATTTTTTTTTTTTTCAATTTAGACTTTAGGCAAACAACAAAACCAAAAACAAAAATTTTATTTAATATTATTTAGAAAAATTTAATGAAAGAAAATTTTAAGAATAAAAAAAAATATACAAAAAAATTTTGTTGACCAAAATTTTATTTCTTTATAAAAAACAAAAATTATTAAAATAGAAACAAAAATATAAATAAAAAAAAAAATTCAAAAAAAAAAAAAAATCTAAATTTAAAAAATTAAATTTTTTCTTTATTTATTTTTAGTCTTTTATTCAAATGATTTCCATTTAAATTATACATTTTTTTTAACTTGGAATGCTTAGCAGTTATTAGGAAAATCTTTAATTTAATTTTTATTATTAATGCTAAACAAATTGAGTGTTTCATTTATAAAAATTTTTTTTATATTTTATTCAAAATTTTAATCTCATTTAATGGATTATATTTTTTTACTGTGTTTATTTTATTCATTTCTTGAAGAGCTTACGTAAAATTTAATATCAACCTAGGTGAACTTATAGTGTCATTTCTTCAGTTTATAGGTCGAAAAATAAAAAAAAATGGATTTGAAAATGTTATAAAAACTATATTAGCATTGATATAATCTTTGGCATCAAAGGTCGTCCAAAATTCTATTTACATAATATTTAATAAAATTTTGAAAATATTAATCATCACGATCATAAATATAATTTTTAATCATTTGTCCGTATTAAAATTTTCTCTCAGTGTGGAAAAATATTTTACATAGTCAGAGTCAAAAAAACAAAATTCCAAATATTTCAATTGCGTGTCATTCTATTTGATTTTGAATGGGAACATTGTATAAAATGAAAATTATGTGATAACAAAATTTTTAATTAAACACGAAAATATGAAGGCTGTAGATTTATCTAACAGTAAATGTGTTAGAAAATGCAGTTCAAATTTCGATAATTATTAATATTATCACCAAACCATCTTAAATCAAGTCGATCTTAACTAACTAACGATTTGAGCTAGTTAGCTTAACTAACATTTTCAAAGTAAATATACAATGATTTCAAAATTGTTCTTCAAAATTGAGGACGAAAATTATGCTTTACAAATTTATGTAAAGGCTGTGTAACTATTTATGTGCATTAACATAATATTCGTGAAAAAATTTTTTTGGATACGTATGAAAGAAAGGCAATAATTTGTGCGTTTTCTAAAGCAAATTTGAACAAATCACGAACATTGTTCTATTGCAAATTTCAAATTATCCTATAGCAAACTTGAAACGATTGACAAACGGCTACAAAATTTTGCAATTATATATATTTTTCAGTATTATGCTTTTCCAGTAAGAAAATAATAATCACCTAAAAATCCCATTTAAGAAAGCAAAAGAAATATTTTTTCAGTATGTGATATAAAAATAGCACCTTTATTAAATTTTTATCAAAAATGCAATGCGATCACACTTTTTCTGTTAAACAATCATGATAATATCGATATTGGTTTTCCTACTAACATTTCTTATCTCTGTTAACGAAAAATATTTAGGTTGGTAAATCAAATTGAAATTTCATAATGTCTATGTCAATATACTCGTATAAAAGAGAGAATCTAGTTTTTAAAATCTTGAAGTTCATTGACCTATACTATTGAAATATTTTCAATTTACGATTTGAATTACGATTTTATGCATTTTACATGAGTAAGTATTATAAATGTAAGTATTAATGTGAAATCAAAATTGCTATATAAAAATTTTTGAACTCTTCATTTTGTTAAAATTTCCATAGTTTAATTTGCTGAATTTATTAATTAATTCCTCTCATATTGAATCTAAAGGTCACTTTTGAGTTATGGGTCTAAATGCTTATAAAAATTTTTAAAAGATTATAAGATTGCACATTTAATTTAGGTCAAAACAAAATAACGTAAGTAAATTCTGTAATAACGTAAGTAAATTCTGTGGCAATAACAAAAAACAACTTAAGTCAAAATTAGTAGTTTCGAGTAAATTTAGTCAAGTTACTTTTAAAAAGTATTGTTAGTCTTGAATATAATTTAAAATTTATGGTTATTTTAAATATACCTAATCCTTCAAGGGATTGTTACTTATTTCGAGTATGTATAATTTAAGTTAGCATTTTTATTTAAGTATTTTATTTTTGGGTTATGATTTTAAAAACCCCTGTATTAATGATTTTGTTTTTGACGTAAATAGATTTGTTATAAAATTTTTTGATTTATTTGTTTCTCATATTAATTTAGCCAACATAGAATATTGTGAATGGAGTCAAAATATGTTTAATTATAATTTTGTAAATGAAAAATTCAATAATGACAAAATTCGAATTTTGTGCTAAATGTGACTTATAATATTTTTCTTTATTACCACAGAACTAATTTGTAAAAAACAAATTGTTAGTTTAAGTGATTAATAATGTCATTAATTTAATTAGAAAATTTTCATTAAAATTTTTCAAATTAATTGCCAATATTCAGTTTTGAAATGACTACATTTTGGATTTCTATTTGGTAGAATATTAAAATGTTTGGATTTTAATTATAATTTCGATATATACAATTTATTCACTAACAATTAATATATTAATTATAAATTTTTATATGATAGACAAGGACATGAGTTTTAATTTGTCTAGTACAAGAATTTCTTTCAAAAATTACATTTTTATTTTTTATGATAGAAAACTCATATTGAATAGAAAACAGCAAGCGTATATACATACATATATACATATATACATTAAGAAATAAATTCTTAAATTATAATTTCAGAGTCTATTTAATTTTTATATTTATGTACATACTCGTATATATCTTATATATGTACTACATTTACGAAATTCACGAATATTATTCTAGAATATTCATAATAAAATTATAGTATGTAGAGTGTAAATCAGCTCTCATGTTAACCTTCAAACAAAAAAAATGGATTAATTTTTAAAATCTTTATTTTCTTTTCAATAAAATAATTATTTTATTATGACAATATACACACACAAATATCATGTTAAACATAATTAATTTTGTTTTTTTTGTTTTCATTTCAAATTACTTATACAAATTTAAAATTTAAATTAAACTAAGAGAATAAATCTTTCCAAGTATTCATAAATTTTGATTGTCTTTTGAAATTTGACAAAAAATTATTAAAATTTTAAATGACAATCATAAATTTGTATACGTATGTATATAGATACATATATAGACAAAATTAATGCTAATAGGTACTTATTTGCTACCGTTACTAATGCTGTTGTGGGTGTAATAAAATGTTGAATCAAATGTCATTGACTGAATTTAAAGGTGATCCAATTATCAACTCGAATAAATTTACTTTGGTCAAAAAGAAAAAAACGAAATTGAAAGTTCCAAAGTTTGACACCATAGATTTTTTGTGTTGCCTAATGTTAATTAGTTTTATAACTTAAAAGGTAAGTATAAGAGTGTTTTTAGATGAATGGGTATGAGGAGTGAGCCAATGCGCATGTTGGATGGAATAAAGAAAAATTAGAGACCGGATTACTTGGAAATTTTAAGAAGGCTCTCATATTAAGATCTGGTTTTCGCATGTATTTTAGAGAAGTTTTGTCGGTTCTATGCTAAACTGCCATTTGAGATTTTATCATAATTTAGAGCGTTGATACTTTAAGGGATATTTGCATATAATTGGATTGAATCAAACAGAAGTATATTCGACAAAGTGAATTTAAAAAACTTTTATGTTTCCGTTGGTATTATTTGAGCTTAATTACTTCGATTATATTAATATTAGAGGCGAATACTTCAAGATTTTTATAATATTTTGTGAATATTTCTTCATGGGCTGTTATATAGACTTTTGTGATTTTTGAATCTAATAATTCTCAAGTTCGATTTATATTGCAAGGGAAGTTATGTGATGGCACTAAATTACGTATGTTGACTTTTCGGTGGAAACGCACTTCTCCATATTAAGGAAGCGTAAATATACTATTTTTAGAAAGATGTCGGTCTATCGGTCTGTGTGCGGACGCGTGTGTCTTAACTTCGGCTGAATTAATTTTGGTAAATTTTTGTATGAGAATTTACTTTGGCTATAGCACGAATTGATCAGTTTTTGGGATATATCCGACCTCAGGAACTAAATCTTTTTCGGGCCGATTTTACATTTTTGTATACATAAGGAGAAATTGTCAACCAATTTCCTTGAAATTTAATATTTGAACTCGAGGTGTTAAAATTTTTGGAAAAGATCAGGGTTCGGAAATTTGATTGGTTGCTGATTTTACGTTTTTGTACGATATCTGGTACGGATTGGTGGAGTTCATTAAAATTTAATATTTGAGTTCGGGTTGTTACCGAAACTAATTTGTGAACTTTTCGGGAAAATCGTGAGTTATAAAGCGAAACTCTAATAAAAGCCAAATTTACACATTTGTAGGTATGTTAGCTGAAAGCTTGCTAGCATCCTTAAAATTGAAAGGAAGTGTTCTAAATACATTTTCATAATATTCTGTAACACTCTCACTAAACTAGGATATAAACATAGCATTCGGTTATGTGCTGATCACATCACAAAATTTTTTATTGATTAACCAATTATTTTATTACTCGAAAATTAATTAAAACTTTAATGTACTCAATTTTGTATGTACTCAATGTTAAAGTGAACATTATAAAAATTAAAAAAATAAAAAAAAATTAATGATTTTTTTTTTTCAATTTCCGATATTAATAACCTTTTTTTTTTTTTTTGAATTTTCATTAAAATCATAAAAATTTCCACTTAAAATTATTTTTAAAATGTTTATTCAGTGAATGCAAAGTAATTTTCCTATAACAAAATGAATATTTTTGGTTTAATAATCATACTTAAATGAAATTAACACATGCATACTTTTAATACAAAAATTGTATGTATATATTAATATTATATTGAACGTAATATGGTCATGTATATATATGTAAATACACATAATATATAAAACACAAATTAAATATTTATATCAGCAGTTTGGTATTAAATTGAAAAGTAATTTTTTCATTTTTCGAATTATTGTTCATAAAATCTTAAGTTTTTGTGATTTTTAATGTGCTCCTCTTTTATGAGCGATTATAGTTTACACCCAATTATAATGTGATTGATTTCTTGTTAAAGTCGTAAATTTTCATCTTG